CTGAAATTTGAAAGAACTTTTTCACGATATTCAAATTTTTTGAGATGCACCCCCACACACACACACACACACACACACACACATATATATATATATATATATATATATATATATATATTCTTTTACTTTCTAAAATGTCATTTTGTGTCCATATTATCAGTAACAAAATATAATCAGAATGAGCTTTATCAGATTGAGCTTTATTGCTTTATTGAGCTTTAATTTATAATAATATAAATTATTCATTTATTATAAATGAATAATTTATTCATTCATCTTTATTAATTTTAACTGTTAGATTCTTCATAAGTTTTATTCTTTTGTAGGTGGAGGCAATGAAGATTGGAGCAAAAGAAATGAAGAAAGCATATAAACAAGTGAAAATGGATCAGATTGAAGTATATACACTAATCATTTTGATATTGGCTGTTTTTAAGCAATATTTTTGATTGATGATCAGTGGTAATAAGGTACACTTTTCATTACTATTCTTTGTGACTGATAGGACCTGCAGGATCAACTGGAAGATATGATGGATGAGGCCAACGAGGTGCAGGAAGCTCTCAGTCGCAGCTATGGCACACCAGAGATCGATGAGGATGAACTAGAAGCAGGTAGTTCTCTCTGTGTGTGTGTGTGTGTGTGTATGGAGCTTAGAGCTTCACTTTTTTTCCTCTGCTGCAGAGCTGGATGCTCTGGGAGATGAGTTACTGCTGGATGATGACAGCTCTTACTTAGATGAAGCCTCGTCTGCACCCTCCATTCCTGAAGGAATGCCCAGCGACACTAAAACCAATAAGGTACATATTACATTGATAAAACTTTCAATGACAAAACCTACATATTCATTATAATTCGTCATTATTTGTCTGTGATTTACTCAGTGCATATTTGTGTCTCTCAGGATGGCGTTCTGGTGGATGAGTTTGGTCTACCACAGATCCCTGCCACATAAGAATCTGTTCTCTGAGCAGTGTTTTGTTTACAGCTGGTGGAGGAAGTTTTTCTTGTGCTGATGGTATTGAACATGTTGTGTTGTATTCATTGCCCAGTCTAGCACATAGCATTGTAACTTCAGTTTAATGTTTAACATGATCACATGAAGTGTGATTTTTCCAGGTTTATTTAGAATTTGGTCACGTAAACATGTTCGCCTGATTTTCATAACCCAGTAAATTCAGACGAGATTACAGTTTTTAGATATCCAAGTAAAACTCCTGGCATATCCCTTTATTAATCAGAATTTTGGATCACCTACTTTCCATTATATCTGAACATACCTTTATAGTAATGCATGTCCAAACAAAAATAATTCTGGATGATATGAGATACAAACAGTTTGGGGAAAGTCGAGTTATTGAAGAAATTTATTTTTAGAGCATGGAGATTTTTTTTCCCCAGAATAATTACATTAAAACATCTCATTACATATTAACTTATTAATTGTGTTAATTACATATAGACACATATAAACTCTTATTCTTAATATTAATTTTACATTTGCCAATTAATATTATTGTCTATGCTCTTGTTAAGATGGAGTGTGTCTTGCTTCACGCTGGACTCTGAAGCTTGTTGAAATGTTGACAGAATTGTTGACACTGATCAAGTATTTCAAGTCCATAGTTCTGAGTAGCATGAATGAAGAACCTGCGTGGAGCAGCCATAAACTAGTCCAAATATTGCTTGGATTATTAAAATGAACTGGTTTTCTTGATAACAAACTTTATTATTGGTTATACATCAAGATCTGAAATATTATGAAATGTGAAATGCATCACTGGAGTCTGTAAGAGATACAATAAATGGTGGTATTTGAAAACAGCGGAGCATTTTTGTGGAGCCATTAGGCTATTCATGCAGCAATAACACATCTCAGAAGAAAGACAGATTGAACACGCGGTATTACACAGTCACATTATTTACAACATAAAAAAACATTACATTTTCAGCATTTTTTTTTGCATTTACTTTGATCAAAATGTTTGTGTAGTCTTATTTGCAAAAAGCCCACTTTTTCCTGCGTATATGGTATTTTCCTAATTAAATGAATAATAATTGCATAATGTATTTTTTTATATATTCTAAAATGACATTCTGAAAAAAAAAAAATCACACACCCCAGTTTTCTATTTAATATTGTTTTTTTTAATCCTTTCGAATTATTCTTCGTAAATACAATGATACAGAAGGACAGATTTTTTTTATTATGCAATTATATACATATTAATACAAACATACATCTTGCAACAGTAATAGAAAAAATTGAAAAAGGTTATACAGAGAAAAAAACGTGCATGTACATGGGTAAAAAATTTTAAATAAATAAAACATTTAATTAACCAAATTAAAGTGACAGAGTGCTTCATAGGTCTTTTAAGCTTTTCTGTTTCTAATATTATGCAAAGTAGTACCATATTGTTTAATTTCTTTTATAAAATGTTCACAATTTGGCTTAGCTTTAATCCATTTCTTTACATGAATATGATATTTTCCAAGTAAAATAATTAATTGTGTGTAAAAAAAAAATTTTTACTTTTAGAATTAATGGTATCTTGTTCATACAGAGGGACAGATGGATGAGGCGCAGCAAAGGGGCGTGACGTACACACACACACACACACGTCACTTCCGGTTCCATGTGCATAGGACGCATACACAGAAGTTGTGAAGCGTTAGCTAATAGTGTGCTGAATCTGATATGGCGGAGAACACAATGGCAGTGACAGTTGCTTATGGTAAAGATAACTGACTACCTTTTTATATTTTAAAACATTAAGATCAATCGAAAATAAATGCAGTCGATATTTTTATTGAGGCTTTATACGGCACGACAGTGTTGAAGCTAGCTACCAGTATTTGAACATCCCTCTAAACCACAGACGTTTATTCCAATATTAGTTACATTCTGAGGCTAAGAATGTATATTTTGAGTTTCCAGGTTAATTGTAATCTAATTACGGTTAGTTAATGTGTAAATGTCAATGCTGGATTTGCAGATACAGTGCCGGTTAGCTCTGAATAATTTTGAGTATTAAACCTGTCTTGTTCTGTCTATGATAATGACTGTTCTTGTCTCAGGCACAACCAAACACAACATCACTTTAACAGCACAGGATGGACATGAACCACTGTTAAAGGATTTGTGTGAAGCGCTGACAGAAGCCACAGGAGTACCAGTACCATCCCAGAAAGTCATATTTAAAGGTAGCACAGTATACACTTTTCATGTGCTTCATGCGTTATATTTACTCAACTGTAAATGGCCACCTGTGTTTTGGGTATAAACTACAGAAATTATCATTAGTTGAACTCGACAGAATGATGCAGTGTTTGAAATAAAAGCATCGTTAGTCTGTGCCAGTGCAGCAGTAACATTGTATTGTTGAATGCAAGAATATCTGGATCGCTAGAATCGTAACATTATGTTGTTCTTGTTGTAGGGAAATCACTGAAGGAGATGGAGGAGCCTCTGTCCAGCTTTGGAATAAAGCAGGGTTGTAAACTGATGATGATTGGAAAGAGGGTAAAATGTGCCGTTCATTAATTCATACAGATAGAACTGTAATTATTTCTGAGTCTGACAAGCTGCTTTATTTTTACAGAACAGCCCGGAGGAGGAAGCTGAACTTAAAAAGCTCAAAGACATTGAAAAGTCAGTGGAACAAACCGCCAAGAAGCTTGAGAAGGTGGATGGTGAACTCACAGGACTGAAGAATGTATGTGTGACATGGATAAAAATCTCTTTATTCCTCTTCTTGAACACTGTACTTATGTATTTGGCAATATGGTAATTTCATAATTTAATGGATTATTTACAGGGTTTTCTTGCAAAAGAATTGCAAGCCGAGGCTCTTAACAAACTGGACCACAGGGTGAAAGTTGCCTCTGAGCAGTTCATGAAAATCCTAGAGGAAATAGATGGAATGGTAATTGTTTTTCGTTGTTGTTATATTGTTTCTTAAAGTAGGCATGAAATGAAAATTCACCTTACCTATTTTGTAAATGCATTGTTTTACACTCGGATGTACGACACAACAAGGAAGAAAATATTTTGCTGCTTCCATTGCTCAGTAAAGCTTATTTGTGCCTCTTTATATTGATTATTTACAGAGCTTGCCAGAGAGTTTTAGTGATTGCAGGATGAAGAAAAAAGGACTTGCGAAAACTGTTCAGGTACGATTATGACTTATTAAAGGAATAGCTCACACAAAAATGTTAATTTGCTGACCCTAAGGCCATCTGAGATGGAGATGAGTTTGTTCATTTGCAATAGATCATCTGCATTGAATGAGAGTCCAAACAGCTGATAAAAACATCACAATAATCCACAAGCAATCCACACGACTCCAGTCCATCAATTAACATCTTGTGAAGTGAAAAGGTGCATGTTTGTAAGAAACAAATCAATCATTAAGATGTTTTAACTTTCAGCTGTCACTGGCCAAAATACCAGTCCATAATCCATCCAGTGAAAAAGTCCACCCCTGTTGTCTTCTCGCATCAAAATCAACCAACATATTTGTTTAGAACTGTTTTGGACTGTTTTCACTTGTAAGCAATGCTTGATCTGTGCATATTTCTCTTCTGATTAAGACGATGAATTTTTCACTGGAGAATGTTAGCAGAAAGCAACGGTTTGAAGTTGAAAACATCACAAAATGCTAATTGATGGGACTGGAGTTGTGTGAATGATTGTGATGTTTTTATTAGCTGTTTGGACTGTCATTCTGACGGCACCCATTCACTGCAGAAGATCCATTGGTGAGCAGGTGATGTAATGCTAAATTTACCAAAACTGTTCCGATGAAGAATCAAACCCATTTATGTTATTGGATGTAAATATTAATGGGTGAACTATTCCTTTAATATTGGGTTTTAATTAAGCACCTTAGACTTTAACATACCATGACCATTATTTGATTTCATATCTTAAATATTGTTTTCTTTATTTTCCTCATGCTCAGGGGTTCTTGGCTCAGTGTGACAAAATTGAAGCTGGAATATCAGATCACTTGGCTAAGATTCAGACAAAAAACTTAGCCTTAGCAGAATGATCATGAAGTAAGACTCCTGACATCAGTAGTTACTGGTGCTGCAAATGAAGAACCTCACTGAGAGCTTTGGCACTGGAGGTGGTCCTGCAGTTCGCCTACACCCCACAACCTACACATGCACCTGTCATGCAGAGAACAACAGGCAGCATTCGAAACATTTTGAAATCGTTTTCTTATGAGTTTAGATTTTTCATGCTAATTTTTGGAAATACTTATGGCTAGGTTGGAGTTTTGACCATCTGGACCACACTGTTCTCTCTTTAAACTTTATCTAGCCTGACAGATGTTGGATTTATAGTCTTATTTCGATCAAAGAGAAAAAAACGGTGCTGGAAGAATATCCTTTTAAAGGATCTAACATAAATAAATGATCTAATTCAATAAATCAGTTTTGTGCTGTAAAACTTTTGGATAAAAAAAAAAGTTCTATTTATGAAAAGAGTGAACTTGTGCGAAGCAAAAGATTTCAGAATTGATTGTCCTTGTTTTGTTTTTATTATGATTAAATCTCAGGGTGCTTCAAACCTCTGGTGGTTTTCCCCATCTATTTCGGTCTCAAATGCTGTTGTGAAGTTATTGAGAGAAATTAAACATTTGAAGACAACTTTTGTGTCATCTCGGTAAATCTTTGGCAATTTGGCCTGTTCTGTAAAATCCTGTATCTACTAGGTTTTAATGATATGATGAATTAAAATGCTAAAATCCTGTTTTTTTTTATGCTAAAAAATGTTGGGAGAAACTTTAAACTGACTTTTTTTTTTCTTCATAAAATGTCCCACGTTCTGTAATGAAAATTTGATGACTTAACTTATTTCAAATGGTTTATTACAAAGTGTAAATATCCAGCAACTCCAGACTACATTGAATAATTCCGCAATTTATTTCTCAACATTTACATACCAGAACAGCATTCATTCACTTTGAGGTTTACCACAGATTACATGTCTATTTATTTCATAGTTATGTACAAGTCTCCTTAGACTGTTTAAGAGAAGGTCCAGTAGAGTCAAATGATTTTGCCTTGCTGATGAATGTATCCCTTTGCACTAGCCCATGAATGTGGGGAAAAGAAGACAATTAAACATGTTGTAGTGTTACAGTGTAGTTTTCATTAGTTTCAGTAGGGTTTGGCCTTGTCCTAATCATCCTTATCTTTAGCACCGTGTTTCAGGATGCGTGTGAATTCTACGTAGTTGAAGTTTCCTTTCTTGTCAATAGGGGCCTCTCTAAACAGCTGGTCTACTTCTTCGTCTGTGAACCTGTCTCCCATAGTGGTCAAGAGCTCCCTCAGGTAGTCCTCCTGAATAAAACCTAGGACAAATGAGGCAACCTGATTATTAATAACCGAACAAATGTTTATCAAAAACAGCATATATTCCTCTAATTTTGGACTTCAGACTAATACAGATCACCAGTGTTACTTGCTATTTTATTTCAGTGGTTTGTTCATGCTTACCCGTCCCCTCCTCATCAAAGCAAGCAAATGCGTTTTTGATAACATCCTCAGGATCTGTGCCATTAAGCTTCTCTCCAAACATTGTGAGGAACATGGTGAAGTTAATGGGACCAGGGGCTTCATTCATCATCGCCTCGAGGTATTCATCTGTGGGGTTCTTACCTAACAATGAAATAACTTGTCAGTCAAAAGCAGTTTGTATTTGATTAAATGTAGCTTTTAAAGAGAGTTCACCCAAAAATGAAAATTCCAAACCTGTATCAGTTTCTTTTTTCTGCTGAGCACAAAAGAAGATATTTTGAAGAATGTTGGTAACTAAACATTTTAGTGCTGTCAAACGATTAATCGCATTAAAAATAAAAGTTTTTGTTTACATAATATATGTGTGTGTACTGTGTATATTTATTATGTATATACACAAATACACACACATGCATGCATATATTTAAGAAAAATATGTTATGTTTATATATTAAATATATTTATAAATTATATAAATTATATGAATATACATATATGCATGTAAATATTTTCAAAATATATACATGCATGTGTGTGTATTTATATATACATAATATACACAGTACGCACATATATTATGAAAACAAATACTTTTATTTTGGATGTGATTTAATCGCGATTAATCGTTTGACAGCACTAAAACATCTGACAGTAGCCTTTGACTTTCATAGTATGGGGGGAAAAAAATCAACCGTTCAAAACATATTCTTTTGTGTTCAGCAGAAATAAGAAACTCATATGAAAGGAATGCCATAAAACTCATGTATATAAATAAATAAAAAATGACTTGCAATATATTGATTTTCTAAAGATAAAGTTTATACCTGATTAAGAAGACTTCTCTTTAACTTTCCAGAACTCTATAAATACTATTCAAAATATAATATTGGCAAAAACTGAGTTTTATTTAGAGCTCAGTTTATGCTAATATTTTGTGGAAAAAAGGTGAAGTCCATTAGAAGGAAGCTGGGTCATTAAGGGCCAAGGTCAATGATAAAAGATTTAACCTTTCTGCCTTGCCAACTCTATTTTGTAATTACCTAATGAAGCCAACATATCATGCAGATCCTCCTTATCAATGAAGCCATCACGGTTCTGATCGATCATGTTGAAGGCTTCTTTGAATTCCTGGATCTGGGACTGGTCGAACATGGCAAACACGTTTGACGTGGCCCGCTGGGGGCGCTTTTTGGTGGTTTTTCCCTTAGCCCTTTTGCTAGACATTTTGACAATTCTGTGATATTAAAACTGAAATAGAAGAGACAGAGTGCTTGTTAGGCTTGTACATCAGTGAAAAACATTCAGCAAACATTATACGAATACATGAGCTATTAAAAAAGAATGACGAATAGTCATTCAACAACCATGTCAATATAAACCACAATAACTTTTGGTTTATTTTAAACAACTTACTTTTAAGACAAACAAACTATTGTGTATATAAAACTGTGGTTATTAGTTTGTTTTGCTAACTGCCTTAACATTAGCTGAGCAGCCCACTAGCTAACTGTCAACAACTGAGTACTTAAATTCTTTATAGCTGACCTTATGTTTATTTTGATAGATTATTTTAGTTCCTCCGTCCACATTCAAATATAGTGTCTTTATTAAGAGCACTAATGGTCAATAACAAAGCTTGTTGTGCTGACAGGAAGCAGCATAACACATAATTACAAATAAGCTAGCTAGCAACGGAGCTGTTTGACTTCAGTCTGTCATTTGTAATAAAAACTCTAAAACTTTAACGTCATATAAAGCTCATAAAAATATCTCCATCTAGATTTGAGATACTGATGCAGTAAATCTAGTAAAATTTCACATACCTATCCCGGTAAAAAAAAAAAGGCAGGACACCTAAACAACGGCTGCCACGCTGGTTACTGACGACCCACAGCACCCCTCTGTAGCTTAGTGCAATGGGAAAGTCCCGTCGACAGATCATTACATCACCGACTGGAATAGCCCATGCCTTATCCTTCAGGGGTAGGTTCAAATTATCAAAATTAGGAAGAATGCCAGAATGACTGCTAAAATTAGTGAATTGTAACAGTAAGGTAACGGGTGTGTTTATTGTATTATGGTTTCAATATATGCGCTAAGGTCAGTTTAATTATACTTCAAGTTAATTTAGTTAAATTACAATTTAAGCTGGTATCAATGTCATTAAAATAATGGATTTTTTTATTACATAAAACTCATTTGAAAATATTTTTGTTGTATAATTTAAAAAGATAGGTTTCTAAAAATAGTTTTTATATTAGGCTAATATAATACTTGTGTTAAATAACAAAATATTCATATATGATTTAAATAGGACAGCAAAACGTTCAAGTACAAAACTGAAAGGGACAGCAAACAGTTTGTAAACGTATCATAATCAATACCATTTATATCTCAGATATCAATATAACTGTTAGCTGTTATAAATTATACAAGAGTGTCTCCCCATTCATTTTAACTCAATCTGTGAGGATTCTTTTGGGACTTTCGTTTGCCGGGAAAATATGATACTGTGGTAAAACCGCAAATTAACATATTGTTTGATGAAATGTTTAAGATAAAAAACAATATCACACTCAATCACTTCTGTTGTGACGCGAGGCCTAACAGCAGTCTTGTGATATTCCTTTAATAAAATGTTGCTTTCGTTGTCTAATTGTGTTTATATAGCCTATTGAATTACGCGCGTTCCCAGAGTTAACATGTTGAAACTGCCTGCCCCCTAGTCAGGGTCTATATTTAACAGACCTAGTGGCCATACAAGGTCGTGGCTTGACTCTGCAATCTGCAGAGTGGCAGCATTATTTTTGTTCAGTGAAGTCCCGTACTGTCGGCTGCCCCATACCCGCCGCTGTGACTGGATTTTCACTGGCTTCTCATTTTTTTGAAGTTTGCCCCTTCTTCTTTTTGCAAAAGCACCTTTGACTTGGTAAGTGACTTTGTATTTCTAATTGACGCTAGGCCTGCCCAAATATAGGAAGTAACGTTAGGCTAACGTGTTAAAGTCATCCAATTGTCTGTAACAACTTAATCTAAATTTACGAATTAGTTACCATCACAACAGACAAAACTAGTTGCTCATATAATTGGATGGTGTCTGACATTATACTTTGAATACTAGGAACGTTTTTGTAGGACTATTTAATTTTTGCTATTTTGATATTAAGTCGATTTAATTATTTATGTCATTTTAATTTGAACAAGCAAATGTGTCTGCTACTATTTTTGGAACTGTAAACAAAGATACATAGACAAATGTCTTGGATATGTGTGTTGGCCCATACAGTGTTTCTGAAAAATAATAGTGGACTTTACACTCTCAGAAAAAAATGTGCATACAAAGTATGTATTTAGGTGTACAGCTTTTGACTGGGGCAGTACCCTTAAAGGAACATCAGTGTACCTTATTTACCACTAAAGATTCAGAGTAGTAACTTAAGGGTACATATTACTACACTAAGGTACAAAGATGTCCCTTTAAGGTTACTGCCCCAGTGACAAGCTGCTATACCACCTAAGGCCATCAAGTTTTTGCACTTTTTTTTTTCTGACAGTGTATATTCATGATTAAAATTGTGTTTGGAGTCAGGTGTTGTTTTTTGTGCATTTGAATTAACATTCATTGGGAATTGTACTTGAGACTGCAAGCAGAGAGAGAAAGGGTCCTTGGGCCGATCTAAAAAGCACCTCAGGATGTCAGAATCCTTAAAACTACAAAAGGAACAGCAGCAACGGGACCTTGAGACGCGCTATGAGAGCAGCTATCACCAAGGCTTCCTATCATCTGTTAGCCGCCAGTCTTATGCTGCTTATGTGAGCAGCAGCAGCAGCCATGGGTAAGAGGACATAGGAGACATTCTCCCTGTGCTCATGCTGCCCTGAAGAATGGCCCCTGTAGAGCAACCCCCCACAAGCACTGCTTTTTAGATACCAGTGCTTTTATAACACATTCCATGCTGCTTACTTGAAAATGTGTGCATCATTTGAAGTGCCTACATCATAACCCTTTCATTATAATCTTATGATGTTTGCTTGCTTTAAAACAAACCAGCAAAGTACCTCTAAAAATCTGTGTCGTTTTTGTGTTGGAAATTACAAGCCTTTCTGTTTCACTAATGTTACAAAGAACGCTGATGCATTTTCTTTCATTATCTGTTTCATTTTGTGATGACCGCAAATTACATCAGAGCTTATTGCAATAACAAAACAATAACAATAACTATGACCAATGACAACATAGATTCTAAAATCAAGTCATCTACAAAAATAATTTGTTTTTCTATGGTATATGCAGAGATATGTATTTTCATATTTTATAGTTGGATAGTTTTGAGTAAAAAACAAGCAAAATATGTAATTTTCTCTATAGACAAATGTATAAACATTTAAAACAATGATATATGCTTTTGTAGAAGCCTTATGTCAGCATCATTTAAGTTTAGTTTTTAAGGTTTTTAAGCCAAATTCCTTAACTTCAGCATCACTTCACCAATCAGAGAAGTTGCTGTTGCCATGGGAATGAATATTGCTTCTAAAGTGCTCAGCAGCGACCGCCCACTCCCATGACACAAAGCAGATTTTCCCTACACTTTCAAGCTGCTTATATATTGTATAGATCTGTATCCTATTGTACAAACGGATGCACTGCCTCACACTCATTTCATTGGTTGAGCAAATGTTGCTGTGTCTGACTGATTCTCATGTTGTTTATACTATAAATATTTTGTAATATTGTGATTTATCTTTTCGCTAGTTGTTTTGGTTCATAACTTATAACTTTTTATTGAAATTTTTTTTTTAATCCTCATGGAGAACATGCATGGAAACAAATACTTAAAAAAAAAAAAAAAAAAAGCCAGCTGAGTGTGCTGTGGCTGTTGTGCTTTCTTGATGCTCATAGTCATTGGAACTATGTTTATAAATATATAGGTCAGAAACTTTTGTTATAGAGGAACATATGTGCTGTTGAGGATTCCATGATGCCATGACCCTGTGGCTGGAAGAATTTGAGCCTCTGTGGGAGTGAGCCAAAGTTATTAATGGTCTAAGAGATTATTTATGGTCACTGAAACTTGAAATCACAGTAGTTGAGCAACTGTACATGAACTGTATATCACGTTGCTGCTTGAGGTGGCTTAATAGGATAATTCATGCAAAAATTAAAATTCTGTCATCATTTACTCACCCTTGTTTCATTACAAGCCTGCATGATTTTCTTTCTTTTTTGGGGCATAAAAGAAGACATTTTGAGTTTGGTTCCCAACCATCTTCAAAATGTCTTCTTTTGTGTTCCACAGAAGAAAGTAAGTCATACAGGCTTGTAACGACATAATGCTAAATGATGAAACTATTTTATTTTTGTTGAGCTATCTGTTTAAAGGGTTAGTTCACCCAAAAATGAAAATTCTATCATTAATTACTCACCCTCATGTTGTTCCTAAGACCTTCGTTCATCTTTGGAACACAAATGAAGATATTTCTGATGAAATCCGAGAGCTTTCTGACCCTGCATATACAGCAACTCAACTTAAATGTTCAAGGCCCACAAAGTAAGGACATTGTTAAAATAGTCAGAACATCAGAACGTCGGTGTCTGTGTCAGCAGCACCACACGCATGCGTTGTGGTACTATCGTGACCGCGTGTTCAAGACGGACACGGAAGAGAAAAAATTGTTGAATAAAGTCATTATTTTTGTTTTCTTTGCGCACAAAAAGTATTCTTGTAGCTTCACGTAGCATTATGGTTGAACCACTGATGTCATATGAACTACTTTAACGATGTCAGAAAGCTATTGGATTTCAACAAAAATGTCTTAAAGGTGCAATAGGTGATTGTCTTCAGAAACATATTTTGTTATGCTGGTTGAAAGTCTCTTCACATCCCCATAGCAATCATTAAGTTAAGTGGTCTAAATGTATTTATCTGTATTTATTAGGGCTGTCAAAATGGCTGAAAAACTAAATTCGAATTTTGTACTTAAATATGATCAAAATTCTAATTATATTCGAATTTAAAATGCATAATTTCAGTTAGAGTGAAGAAAAGCTTTTGGCTTCTCTCCTGAGGCCAAGTGAGCTACGTGCATGAACTGTGTTCCGATCGATATGATCCCTACACAGAGTTCATTGCTCCCTACTCCCTGAGCAGGGGAAATCCGTTGAAGTTTACTTCACTTCGGAACATGGGCTGGAATTGGGAACCGCTGATGTAGGCTATTGTAGTAATGTTGTCTCTTGTATTCTGGTCTGTGAGCGTAAATGCGTTCAGGGGGCGTGGCTTTGGACGGCGATTGCAGGGAGGGTGGGACGTTCGCTTTCAGTGCTATCAGGCTAAAGTTAGCATTTTCCAAGATCTCCTACTGCACCTTTAATTTGTGTTCTGAAGATGAACGAAGGTCTTATGGGTTTGGAACGACATGAGGGTGAGGAATTAATGACAGAATTTTCATTTTTAGGTGAACTATCCCTTTAAGGTAGAACAGTATTTGAGCTCTCAGAAATCTCAGGAAAAAAAGAAGTCATGTTATTTGCCAGTCATGACAATTTATTAATGTTTCTGATGGTTGTTATTTGTGCAGAAATTGCCACATGTATGCTTTGAATATGGCAAACCAAACACTTATATGGTTCATTTAATTTTTTATAGTTGTAAAATAGGTTCCTGACAGCAATTTTGAACGGTTCTGAAAGTATTTAAATATTTTTGGCATTAATTAACTGTTATAATCTTACCATTTACCCTTGTACTGTTTAGCCTATAGTTGTTCAAGAGAACAAATTGCAAAATATGCACTTTGTATTATTGTATTACTTATGAAACAATCCACAGATGGATTGGAAGCTGCTGTAATCCTAAAATATTTTGTAACAGTGTAAGAGATAAAAGGATCAGCCTCTCAAATAGCAGACAGAGCTCTATGTTTTATCTATAAATCAGTCCAAAGCCCATAATGCCGGTGGCAGTTGTGAGTGACTGTCAGGATCATATGCATACTAAATGGTTTATCTCCGGCTGACATGACATTTCAAGTAATGTTTGTTTCCAGCTAGTTATGATCTTTCTTGATCGCAATTAACAAAATGTGCATTAAAAGAATAAAAATATGTAATATAGTATTACTTTTTTGAATATTTTTTGGTGTGCTAATGAGGAACATTGTAACAAGGATGATGTGCGCACACACAGTAACAATATCCTGGAGTAGTGTATATTGATTTAATTGCTTTTCCTAAAGTGCTGCTTATTTCAGGCCTTTTCATTTATTTTTTAATAAATGCTTAATATAGTGGATGTCTCTGCTAATAATTACTTTCCACTAACATGAAATATGACACATGACACTGAAATATTGAACCTTTTGTTCCATTAGCGTTAGGAGGATTTAAGGAAAGAAATAAATGCAACTGACATTATATAATGCAATAATGGAATATGTCAAAATCTTTGATGCATTTTGCCATATAATCCAACTGTATGTTTATTGGTGCTGTTGATATTCACTGTCGTTTAGGCACAAGATCTCAAAGAAGGAGAAGAAACTGAGCACTCTCTCTAAGAAAGAAAAGCGCTCATACCTGGCTGTGGACAAAGAAGACGAGATCATTGGATACGTCGTGCCAGTCTTCAGAAGCAGGTGATTGCATGGTTTGCAAGTTTGAATAATTTTATTTTATTTTATTTATTTATTTTTTTTTAAATTTTTTAGTTCCAGTTGACTATATTAAACCTGACTGAAAATTCTGGCATCGTCTATCCTTCATGTCTATGAAACTCATTAGACCTTTTTTTAAGTTAAGTCAGGAGTTGATCCTACGTCCCTTTGCTGACTAATTAAAAACTGTACGTCTAGACTAACATGGATCTCATATGTCAAACAGTATTAGTCAGTATTGGGTCAGGCTGCTCATTAACTTAATCTTTTCCATTAGTCATTTGGCTACCCAGGATCTGATGGAGACTCAGGAGGAGGTAAAGGAGGAGGGTATGGGGTATGTCGTCATGAGGAACCTGTTCTCCAGGGAGACCGACTTCAAGATGAGAACTGTGAAGAAGTCCAGAGAGACCAGTTTGAGAGAGTCTGCTGAGCGCCTTGCTCTGAGCAGGAAGGTTTGACCTAAAATGTTTAACGAGATGCTTATATAAAACATTGTGCCTTTAACTGTTAAAAAAGTTTGATGTAACTTTTTGTATCCCGAAACTGTATATTGAGGCTTATTGTAGAAGAAGTTAGTCAGACTAACTAACTATACCAGCAGTGTCAGTATTTGTATGATTGTTTTATCTTAGGGTCCTAATTTATCTTGTTTTTACACAAGATGCATGAGAAAGAAGAATTCCAGAAGAAGATGAATCCAGACAGTTTGACTCACCCCCCGGAGTTCATTCTGAAACCACGTGGCCAGACCGTGTGGGAGGGGAAGAGTGTGACGTTGCACTGCACGGTGGCTGGATGGCCCAAACCCCACGTGGCCTGGTCAGAAACACTTCAATTCCAGCAATACTGGATAGAAATAATCATTAAACCCAGGTTTAATTTAATTCTGTTCTGTTTCCATAACTTTTCAGGTACAAAAACAATGTTTTAATTGATGCTAAGTCTCACCCTGAGAAGTACTTCACAGAGAGCCAATACAACATGCATTCTCTGGAAATCAAGAAGTAAAGAAAGTTTTTATTTGTTTAATAATGTTTGCGAAAGTTAGTTTGTGATTCTGTATTATATTGCACTAAATTCGTGGGATGATTTCATTTCTTAGTAATATCAGATGCATGGAAAAGATAAACATTAAAGGCATGACTGTTATTTTTGATTCTCTTAAAATTATATATTATATAACTACTGTATATTATATTGAAATTATATTAAAATTATTCTTGTGGGTTGCAGTTGTAATTTTAGCGACACTGCTGAGTACCGAATCTCTGCACTTAACGTGAAGGGAGAAAGTTCTGCCTTTGCCCCTGTCATTATTAAAAGTGAGTATTTCACTTTTTTTTAAATGGATTTCAAATCTTGAATCATTTTTGAATAATGTTTTACATGTGCTCAAAATCAAACTGTTTATTGATGGCTCAGATCTGGCCTTCAAAAAATAAGAAGCAAATCATGAAGATTGGATTGAACATATTTTATTAACCTGAATTATTTAAAAAAATTATATATATTTTTAATTAATGAAGGACAAATTAAGGGGTCATCTGCAGCACAGGCATAAGTTGTGCTCATATTCTACTAAATGTAGAAACTGTGCTTATACTTGTGTGTAAGTCACTCTGCTCTGGTTTACAGCTGCTGTCCTCTTGACGTTCTATTTTAAGGCTCTGACAGCACCTCAGTTTGCCTTGTGCTATTCTTTCCGCTGCCTCTGCACAGGCTAATGCTATGAAATATCTTGACTGGGTCTTTATTATTTAATATTGTTTGGTGTATCAATCATGTACACCAAGGTCAACCAGAATATTTAAAGAGAAGCAGTTGGTTCTGTTTGCAATGCACCATGCAGTTATGCAGTTTCATTATACATTTTTCACGTAGAATGCACTAAAACGTTCATTTGCATTTTCATTCTAAAGGATTCAAAGAAGGAGAAGAAGTGAGTGAAAGGCCCCGTAAGTTTCATATACCATATAATTCTCTTTTATGATCACATCTGTACTCATATAAAGTGTTTATATAAGTACAAATTTAATGTTTTGGTCTTTACAATAAATTCTACACCTATTTATAATAGTTTTTTTCATTTGAATGTGTATAATAGAAATCATTTGACTTTTAAGCTGTTTCTATTCATATTCGCTCAGATGGTTTCAGCCCTGAATATGGTGTGACCTTCAACACTACCATCATTGACAAGTTTGATGTTTCTTTTGGCCGTGAGGGAGAGACCATGAGTTTGGGCTGTACAGTCATTGTCTACCCCACTGTGAAGCGCTACCAGCCAGAGATAGTGTGGTACAGAAATGGTAAGTATGAATGCTAAGTGCACCATGCAATTACTGTGCATTTTAAAAAGTTACTTGCAAATTTACTGAAGCATAAGTCACCATCTCCTAACCATTGTCCTCCTATGTGCTCTTTATATGCAGGAGCTATTAATTAAAGTGCAGTTTACAGTCTATAATGATCCCTTTTCTTTATCAGGTGTCGCCTTGTCACCTTCTAAGTGGGTGCACATGCATTGGAGTGGTGAGCAAGCCACTTTGACTCTTGTGCATCTGAACAAAGAAGATGAGGGTCTCTACACTCTGCGTGTCAACACCAAGTCAGGCTTCGACACCCACTCTGCCTATGTGTTTGTCAGAGGTGAGACCTGTCTGTATGCTTGTGCCGAGTACTCATAAGTTGAAAGGAAATGTCTTATTGTCCTTGCACAAGCTGTGTGCACTGTTTCTTTAAGAGTTACCACATGTATTAGGTTTCTCTCTGGGAATGCTACTTCTATCTTTGGTTGACGGCACTAAAGGCAGCCAGTGTGAAGTACAAGTTACACTACCGTTTAAAAGTTTGGGGTCAGTAACTTTTTTTATTTGAAAGAAATGAATACTTTTATTCAGCAAGGTCACATTAAATTGATCAAAAGTGACATTAAAGACAATTAAAAAGATTTATATTTCAAATAAATGCTGTTTTTGTGCTTTATATATCAAAGAATCCTGAAAAAAGTATCCTGGTTTCCACAAAAAGAATAATAATAATAATAATATTAAATGTTTCTTGAGCAACAAATCAGCATATTATAATGATTTCTGAAGGATCACGTGACACTGAAGACTGAAGTAGTGACTGCTGAAAATTCAGCTTTGCTATCACATGAATAAAAAAAAAAAGGAAAAAAAAAAGGAAATATATAATTGTATTTAATAATATTTTATAATATTATTGTTTTACTCTATTTTTCATCAAATAAATGCAATAAATGAGCATAAGCGACTTCTTTTAAAAACATTAAAACTTGTACTGACCCCAAAGTCTAAAATTTCATAGTGTACATTTTTAATTAAATATATAAAATCAGAAATAAAATGTTAATATTTAAGAGTTTTATTTATTTATACAGTGCAAAGCTACCTGAAAAACTATGCGCAAGTGCACCCAGGGCAAAAGCTGCTTTAAACGCAAAGGATGGTCACACCAAATGTTGATTTAATTTAGTTAATAAAAGTTAATTGATAAAGAAAATCTATTTATGACATTATTTTTGACAGCATCCTCATTTTACAGCATTTTTACACAAGTGCCTAAAACTTTTAACAGTACTGTAGCTTTGCAGGTATAGGTTTCTTGAAGCATCTTAGAGACCCTGCAACAGTTCTTCTGGATTTAGTCTGTCTCAGTTTGTTCAAATCAAATTTTATCCATTTTATTTGATTTTAGGCTTGTTGTTGGCTTGTGAATGGTACAAAATAAATGGTTTTAGAAAGTATTTGTTTTTGACATCATCTTATAAACCCTTGAGGCTTACATGATTAGATCATTAAAACACTTCCTAAGTTAAGAGAGAGCTGAAATTAGCTAGCTGTGTTCACAGAGCGGAGGCGCTGTCGTGTATCTTACTTTGCCATAATTAGATGTGACAGCAGGGTGCAAATCAAGCTGATTTGTGTGTATCAGATGCTGATGTGGAGGAGGAGGGGGTTCCTGTTGCTCCGCTTGATGTGCGTTGTCATGACGCTAATAAAGACTATGTGGTTGTTACCTGGAAGCAGCCAGCAGTGGAGGGCAGCAGTTCCATCATTGGCTACCTTATTGACAGGTGAGTCATATTCCATCAGCAATGAGACCATAGAGCTCACATCAATGCTCATCATTTAAATATTTCTGTACAGGTTGGAGGTGGGCACTCATCATTGGACCCAGTGTAATGACACTCCAGTGAAGTATGCCCGTTTTCCTGTCACTGGGCTTATTGAGGGCCGCTCCTACACCTTTAGGGTCCGAGCCCTCAACAATTCTGGTGTGAGCCGCCCATCCCGGGCCTCTGACCCTGTAGTTGCCATGGATCCATCAGACCGTGCCCGCCTTAGAGGTGAAGGATATATGAATAAAGACTAAAGAACAAAGAATTAAAACTGAAGAACAAAGCCAATCAGTTTTGCTTATGAGAATATGTATGTTTTTTTTTTTTTTTTCACAGCTGGTCCCTCGGCTCCATGGACTGGAATGATCAAATTTACTGAGGAAGACCCCACAGGTAAAATAATACACTAACTTGATAATAGTCTTTCATAATTTTGTCTAAGTACACTACTGTTCAAAAGTTTGGGGTTTGTAAGATATTTTTGTTATTTAATTACGTTTTTAAAATAAGTGTCTTATGCTCAACAAAGCTGCATTAATGCAGTAAAACAGTAAAATTTTAAATTATTTTTTTAAATTTAAAATAACTTTTCCATTTGAATATATTTTAAAATGCAGTTCATTCCTGTGATGACAAGGCTGAATTTTCAGCATCATTACTCCAGTATTCAGTGTCACATGATCCTTCAGAAAAATCATTCTAATATGCTGATTTGGTGCTCAAGAAACATTTCTTATTATTATCATAGTTGTAATATTTAATATTTCTGTCAAAACTTTGATTTTTTTTTTCAGAATTATTAAAGACAGGATTATTTTTTCGAAAGAACAGTATTTATTTTAAATGGAAATCTTTTGTAACACCTTTAATGTCTTTACTGCCAATTTTGACCAATTTAATGAGTCCTTGAATAAAAGTATTAATTTATTTTTTATTTTATTTTATTTTTTTTAAATCCTACTGACCTCAAACTTTTGAACAGTAGTAGGAATTAATTAAATAAAATACAGACAATTCAAGTCAGTTGTTTTAAATTCCTCAAGTAAATCTAGGCATTGCAGCATTACAATGGATTTTATAAAAATGGATATTCATTTATAGATTTTCTTGAATTTAACAGTTTTATTAAATTATTAACTAAAGATAGACTTGAAGTTAAGTGTTAGATGACGGCAAAGACAGTCAAAATGTAAAAAGAGAGGGGAAATAATGTGTGGAGGTCACTGCAGCATTATTTCTCTTGTCTCTTTCAGTGGGGGTGGTTCCTGGTCCATCTACTGACCTGGCTGTCACTGAGGCTACTAAGAGTTACGTGGTACTGAGCTGGAAGCCACCCATCCAGAGAGGACATGAGGGTGTCATGTATTATGTGGAGAAGGTGAGGCAGAATGTACGATATAAAGTATTTGATTTTTACCTTGAATTGAGTTTGGACATTTTTAGACTATCAAATGTTTTCCCAGTGCTTGGTGGGAACAGATACATGGCAGAGAGTGAACACCGGGATGCCAGTGAAGTCTCCCCGCTTTGCCCTGTTCGACCTTGCTGAGGGCAAATCCTACAGCTTCCGTGTCCGTAGCTGCAACTCTGCTGGAGTTGGAGAGCCATCAGAAGAAACTGGGGCGACTACTGTGGGAGACAGATTGGGTGAGTATTAGCACTTGACACAAAAAAAGAAAACGGGTTAGTGACACATATTCTGATTTGCATGATAGAGAGTATGTTTCGAGACTGCTGTGACAAGTGCCTCAAATGGGGTTCTAATCCTACGTGGCATGAATTTGGGATGAGACCAGCAGTAAAGCGAAGATTTTGGAGGAAGATTCGGAAAATCAGGGAATGAGTTTTTGGGGTCAGTAATATTTTATTAATACTTTCATTCCAGCACGGACACATTAAATTGATCAAAAGTGACAGTAGAGACATTTATCATGTTACAAAAGATTTTTCTATTTCTCTCAAAATTTCTATTCATCAAAGTATCCTGAAAAACATGTATCATCGTTTCCACAAAAATATTAAGCAGCACAACTGTTTTCAACATTGATAATAATAATAAGAAATGTTTCTTGAGCACCAAATCAGCATATTAGAATGATTTCTGAAGGACCATGTGACACTGAAGACAGGAGTAATGGCTGCTAAAAAATCCAGCTTTGCCATTTTGAACGGTAGTGTATGTCTAGAGAAATGTTTCGTTTCAAAATACAAAAAAGTTTTTCATGATAGGCATGATCTTGTAAATGTAACTGTGAGTATGACTTGCCTGGAAATCATATGAACCCCATTCTTTGTCTTTTATTTTATATAATGTTTTTTATGGTTGTTGTTGTTTTTAGACCTGCCCTCTGTCCCAGGGCCTGTTATTCCCATCAGAAACACTGACACGTCTGTAGTTGTGTGCTGGGGGGCATCTAAGGAGGTTAAGAATCTGGTGGGCTATTACATCGAGGTCAGCGTCAGTGGCAATGGCGTTTGGGTTCCCTGCAACAACAAGCCAGTCAAAGGCACTAGGTATGTCAATCAGGTGACCTGAGATAGAAAACTGCATTGTTCTTAAAACTACAGATATTTTTCTAATGAATTGCAATAAAGCAGTTTATATAAACATTTATACCAAGCTATTATTATGTAACTGGTCATAACTTGTGTTTTGGTGTGCAGGTTTGTGTGCCACGGGCTGAACACTACGGACAAATGCGTGTTTAGGGTGAAGGCTGTGAACGCTGCAGGATACAGTGGAAGCAGCGCCGAATCTGAGGCCTGCATTGTACAAGCAAGCATTGGTGAGTATTGCTGTCTACAGCAGAAGTCTTGAAACTTTTTCATGCCAAGGACCCCATATAGAGACTGAACAGGTATAACTTAACAAGTAGCATGGCCTGTAATTTACATACTTAATTAAGCGTTCATCACAAAACTGTTAAAATAGTCATCATATTCTTTTTTTAATCTAAATATTTTTCTGAACTGTAGCTTTTGTTCAAATGAAAGGGATAGTTCACCCAAAAATGAAAATTCTATCAACATTTACTCACTGTCTACTTGTTCCAAACCTGTATTAGTTTAAACACAAACGAAGATATTTTGAAGAATGTTGGTGAACAAACAGTGGACCGTAGCCATTGACTTCCATAGTATTTTTTATCCATTTCATTTGAACTGTTTGGTTACCAACATTCTTCAAAATATCTTTTGTGTTCAACAGAAGACAGAAACTCATACAGGTTTGGAAGAACCTGAGGGTGAGTAAATGATGACAGAATTACAATTTTTGGGTCAACTTTCCCTTTAATTTGAACCATGTGTGTAAGGCATCCAGTGTGTAGATTTCATATTGTCTATTGTAGCTTTGGGAACGAAACCATTAAAAAGGCATTTCATATCTGTGATTCATTCTTTCCCTGATGTATGCCAGCACTTAGAACCATACTGTCCTTGACTAGTACAATCCTCCATATTCCTCTATATGTGCATCACCCTCTCACTTAGCTTTCATTGCCATTGAAAAGTCACCATTATACTGTATATAATGCCTGTGCTATTCAAACTTTGCATACCACCAAGCTAAAAATACAAAGCCTGCATGCTGCATGAACATATTATTAAAGCGAGTCCTGCCTCTGCATGCCCTGCCCTGCTATCAGAACTCCTTTTTTAATTCCCTTAGAAACACACAGTCATTACCTGAGTGTATCATGCATGACACAAACATCCAGGTACTAAGATTAACAAAGCAGCCATGTGAAAGAGACAATAGGGATATCTCGTTAACTATCCCAGACAGCAAAATGCACGTTGACTGAAAATCAGACAGTGTGCCTCTGTGTTGTCATGCAGGTGTGTCTGTGCTGTGTGTCTGTTTGCTGAATAACTGCAGGGTGTGTAATGCAAACCTATGCATGAGCAGGATGGGTGGTAGAACAAGCTGAGCAAAGGTCATCCTTCGTCCTGAGCACAGTGAGTATAGACCTGTTCAGACTGTGACAAATCTGTGTATCATTATGTGTCATGGACAGGTGGATGAATCTTGGTTACAATTGTCATTTTACAAAATTTTAATTTTCTGCTCTAAAGGACAATATTTTTATTTGAAATTTGAAGAAATGTTATCAGTAGTTTATAGAATAAAACAAAAATATTCATATTATTCAAATACATACCTAGAAATAATTAATCCAGAGAAACCGATCATTTTGCAGTAGTTTATATATATATATATATATATATATATATATATATATACATTATTTTCTTTTCAAAACAATTACATTTTCCCCATTCATTCACTATATTACTAATTTATTTCAATTATGAAAAAGCACACAAAATAAAATATATTCAATAACAAATAATATTTTTGTACTCCAGTTAAGAGAATTAAATTTAGATTTCAGTAGCTTACTTTTATATATTTTTGTATCACAATTTAAAAAAAATTCTGTAGAACAGAATTGATTTTCTTGAAAATGTCACAAAATGAAAAAACTTCTTAAAAATCTTAGAGATCTTTTCTAATAGTCTATATTTTAATAATGCAAAATATAATTTATATTTTCTACTGTTTTTGTGGTTAAATTTAACCCAGACAGCATATATATAACAGGATTTTTGTTATATAACAAGTGCTGCATGCTTACTGACTGTTTGTATGTAGAGTCTGAACAGCATGAAAATATTCTAAAATTATTATTTATTATTATGAACACATAACTGCTAAATTTCAGGTCATCAGACTTTGATATGGTGATGTCCCACTGTGAAGATACACAACAGATCTTGTGCTCTTTCAAGAAAAGAATATGCATTAATTCTTTGTTTGGGTAACATTTAAAACAGCCAATGTTTGAATGTTTTGTTGGGCTAAACTAAGACTTATCTTTCTGCAGCCGTCCCAAGCCCTCCCACTGGTGTGACCCTGCAGGAGAGGGTCCGTGACTACATGGTGCTGGGCTGGCAAGCCCCTGCTAAGACTGGTGGAGCTGACATCAAAGGTTACTACCTGGACTACAGAACAGTGAAGGATGGAGTCACAAGCAAGTGGCATGAAATTAACCTCCAGGCAGTCACTGGCACATCTTATAAAGTAGGTCATAATATCACAATGCTGGATTTATGACGATTTGTGGATTTATTTAGTTTTATAAAATGAAAAGCTTTTATAAAAACCCAGGCCCTCCTCATGGCCTCCGTGTCCAGGAGGTGCGTAAAGACTCTATGGTGCTTCTGTGGGAACCACCTACATTCAATGGCCGCAGTGCTGTGACTGGATATTATGTGGACTATAAGGAAGAGAATGGCAGATGGAGATGTGTCCAAGAGAGATCCACAAAAAATACTTACATGAAGGTAATAAATGAGATTTTTTTATTTCTCACAGTTTAGATGTTTTAGTTCTCACAGTTCATAGTCATTAATTTTTACAGTATGTATCTCAAGTTCTGTTTTTAGAAAGGAGACAGGACTGTTCCCATGGCTTAATTGCAAACCAATTTCCTAGAACTGGCTTCTGTTTTTAATGATGTTTTTTATGTTTCTTTATTTTTTTGTGTTGAGACATTTAGTTGTTATTCAAAAAAGAGAAAGAACAAAATGTCAGAGGTTGTTTACTCATATTAGTTTTCTTTGTTTGATAAAGGTAACTGGTCTCCAAGAGGGTGTTTCCTACAGGCTGCGCATCCATGCTAAGAATCTGGCAGGTGTTGGTGGACCCTCAAAGGCAACTGATGCAATTTTGGCTGAGACTCGCCCTGGTGAGATTTTATTCTAGGACATAGATAGAACTGTGTGGTAGAGGAAAACATCTGTCACTCACCGCCTGCACTACTAATTTTGTTACACATGTTGGGTTCTCCTCAGGAACCAATGAGATTGTGGTGGATGTGGACGACGATGGTGTGATCTCTCTGATCTTTGAGTGCTCCGATATTAAAGAGAACTCTCAGTTTGTGTGGTCTAAAAACTACGAGGCCTTCACTGACACTTCTCGTCTCACCATTCAGACTGCTGGGGGCAGGTAAGTTGACTTCTGAAATAATACAGTCATGCAGAGTTTCATTAACTTTCATATTTTGTTGAGATTGACTGTTTTTATGTTTGGATACCAAATAACCTATATGTAAAGAAATACCTAGATCTCCAAGTGATTTGTATGTATTACTGTTGACAGAACCATTCATTTACCTTTATTTAGGTCCAGAGCCATCTTTAATGACCCATCGTTGGAAGACTTGGGCACTTACTCCTGTTTTGTGACCAACACTGATGGTGTCTCTGCCAGCTACACGCTCACTGAGGAAGGTGAGTCACTTTCCTTTAATCTGTGGTGATATTCCATCCCATTACATTTCTTTGAGTGACGTTCATGCTTAAGAAGGGAAAACATGAAGATCACTACTTCTTAATGTCAACTGAGAGTACAGCAGCTGCCGATTCCTTTTCCATAAACAACAAATGATTCCACACAACAAATAATTCACGTCAATAATCTGTTTTCTCATAGAAAGCTTACATCGCGTAAGCTTAGTTGATTACATGCAATGTTGTTTACATTTTGTAGGACTTAAGCGCTTGTTGGACATCAGCCATGACCACCAGTTCCCCAGTAAGTGGTTTATCTAGACTTTTATATAGTATATGCATTTACCAGTCAGTAGGTTGTTATATGTTAATTGTGAGCAATTTTCTGCAGTAATTCCCTTCAAAAGTGAAATGGCCATTGAGCTACAGGAGAAGGGCCGTGTTCGTTTCTGGGCCGAAGTTGCCAAGTTCACTTCTAACTGCCAAGTGGAGTATGTGTTCAATGACAATATCATCCATGAAGGAAAGGTAAGACATATAAGAACATTTGAGCTTCAGTGGACTTCACAAACTAACATTAATTATCATGTAAACTTGGACAGCATACATGATGATGTTTTTTTTTTTTTTTTTTTTTTGGTCTAACTCAGAAGTACACAATGAACTTTAACAAAACTACTGGCATTATTGAGATGTTCATGGACTTACTGGAGGTTACTGATGAAGGAACCTTCACATTCAACCTCGTTGATGGCAAAGCAACTGGTCGCACCAGCTTAGTGCTTATTGGAGAAGGTGAGGTCATATTTTAATTTGTTTATTTTTTAGTCACTTTAATATTCCTACAGCTTAATGGTACACACTAATAGATATAAATTACATTTTTTTATATATTTTTAAATTCAGAGGTGTCCAGAAGTCTGAAACCACTAGTTAAAATGCTTCTATTTCATAAATCATAATTTTTTTTCACTCATATCATTTTGAGTAAATAATAATAATAATAATAATAATAATAATAATTTTTATTATTATTAAAAGCATAACAATTTGAGTGAATAATTAGTGACATAGAAACAGAGTCTTCACGTATTTCTCATTTCTTTTACATCATAACTTTGTTTGTTTTTCATTTTTCAAATCATTTTAAATTGGATTTTGAATCCCAGATTTGAAGCCCACCATATATTTGTGTTCAACCCATTATTCAAACCAGTGAACCATTAGTACATCTCACTAGTACAGCAGCCTAACAGAGTTTTATATCTGTATGTCCTTTAGAGGGCAGAAGAGTACCGTTTATAACTCCAAATCCAAATGAACTAGACAGGTGGGGTGACAAGAAATGTGTTTTGTGATCTAGCTCTGGGGAATGCTTATGAATGGACTCTAAACAGAATTCAAAACTCAAAATAAGCTGTATTCTGCACGCTTTGATAATTTCCTTCTATTTTTAATAATGTTGTTTTACAGAGTTTGCTGAGCTTCAGAAGAAATCTGAGTTTGAGAGAGCAGAGTGGGTCAGAAGGCAAGGTACGCTGTCTTTACACCGTATTTGTTTGTGTTAAATCACATTTTAGTTGTTGAATGTCTAAAAATATTCTCCCACACAGGTCCTCACTTTGTGGATTATCTCAGTTTCGAGGTCACTCCAGAATGTGATGTGCATCTGAAATGCAGGGTAAGGCTCTAGGAATCAAAGATGGGAACATGAAACCATCTGTCAATGCCTCAGGTTGAAAAGATACTTGTTAAAATCCCTTTTTCTATCTTTCTTCTGCTATAGGTTGGAAACATCAAACCTGGCACTGAGATTGCCTGGTTTAAGGATGGAATTGAGATTGAAGAGGATGATGAGGATGCTAAGAAGATCGGAAAATCTGATGAAGTGTTGATCTTTGACATTGGCAAGGTCAGACTTGGTTGGGCAATGATAAGGCTGTGTTCGAGCTGGGATTCCAGCATCTGTATGATTATTAAAACTAATGCATTTTTGCTGAATGCAGTATTATACATATGCTACAGGCTTTGCTACGCAAAAAGCCACTCTCCTCTCTGACACACGGACTCATAAATGATGAGATATTTGCATAGTACTGAAGAATATGTTTCTTTTCTTTGTTCCTTTAGCCTTAAGAAGATATAAGTTATTTCAAAAGCCTCCCTGAAAAGTAACAGTGTTTAAAATCAGCATGAAATGAAAATGTCCTTTCTTAATACATTCTCCTGGTCTTATTGTGCATGATTCATCCATATTTTTCAATGAAAAATGCTCTTCGTAATTCTTTTATCCACATTTAATAACTCGCTCTGCCTCTAAAATGCCTTTCATTTTCGTCCGACATCACATTCGTTGGAAAAATAGCTACTTAGGCTTAAGCTTGTTTTAGGCTACTTTTTACGTAATGCAACGTTTAAAAAATCTTGGCAATAGTTAACGCAGCAATGTAGTGATGGTTAATGTTAATGTAATGAAGGATACAGCATTATTAGTAATACAATTACATTATTGAAGTAAAATAGCCCTTGAAGAAATATGTAATTGCATATGCACCTATGTTGGATTCTATCATGTTTATCATGCCCTGTACTTTGAACGGACAGGATGCAAAACCTATTCAATTATTTATAATATTTATCAACATTTATGTCCATATATCATAAATATATGGATCTTCCGTGTGTGAACCTTGGTTTTTAAAGGAAGCCATTTCCTGAATTCAATCAGATTTGGATGGCAGCTTTGTAAAGTAATGCAAATTATCATATTATGTGCAATCTGACCTCCATTTTGTAATATTAATGGGTTATAAATATTGAAAGCCATCTTAGTTTGTCTGAATTCAACTACCAATAAGGTGCCAGTCCAGTTGGACTGAGAGAGGGCTGGATTTAATGCATGCTGCAGAAGAGGGGCAAACTCCCTTGCCACTCCAGTAGGGGGCGCTGGCATTAACTGCAATGTTTGTTTGATTCACAGCTTGTTATTAAGAGCGAAAAGGCACAACGGAAAAAGAAACCTGCAACCGAAGAAAGTCCAAGCAAGCCAAAAGTCTGGAGCTTTGATTTATAAGTTGCCATCAGTGTCAATATGTTGTTATTTGTGATGGTGCTGTCTTTTCCTCTCTGACTCTGTTGGCCTGCAGCATCCTCCACAGGAGAAAAGCTTGACTTTTCGGTCTTTCCTGTTTCGTTTATTTAAATGTTGTTCAAAAAATGTTTTAACTTCTGATTCGTATTGATTAAAAACTAGTGTCCAGTGTCTATGCCTCACTGTTCCCACAATTCCCCAACAGATTTCAAAGAAAGATGCAGGAGTATATGAGGTTAAACTGAAAGATGAAAGAGGAAAGGACAAAACTTTGCTGAACCTGACAGATGCAGGTAGGAGCCACGTTGTCAAAGGTGCCTGATCAAAATTCAGAATTTAAGGATTGGCATCCTTTCAGTTGAGATGAAATTTGCATCTCACTGGATGTTGAATTGGAATTTGAATTGGAATGACAGGTTGTGGAATTTACTGATTTGCAATTCAAACAGAATTTCATTAGTCCAGCACAGAAACAAAACCGGAAAAAATTACACCTTTATTTTGCTTGTTTCGCTCTATATGAAGACTTATTTAAAGAACTTATTTATGAGACTTATTATGTTATATTTAATATTTAATTATTAATTATAGAAATTTGTAACACACACAATTTAGGCTTCATGTTGAAAAATTGTATATATCATTTTTATTCTTTTAATTTTTATGTCATTAAATTCCGATTTAAAAACAACTCACCTATCACCTATCAGTAAATGCATATTTAATTGTTGTCTTTTTTTTTTATCCATAGGCTATTTGAATGTGATTATTATCTATTTTTTCCTAACAGGTTATCAAGCAGTGCTGAATGAAGTATTTAGAGTTATTGGTGAGTGTCATGCCATCAGTCCTTCACCACTCGTGAAGCGTTATTGAATGTACAGTAACATGATGCTCTCATGCACTCGAATCTGATCAGTGCATGTCATGTGATTTTCATGCATTTCTTTCTCTGTTCTTGTAGCCAATTCTTCAACCGAGCTCAAGGTTATGAGCACAGAACACGGAATCATTCTCTACTCATTCGTTGTGCACTATATTGAAGATCTCCGTGTTGGCTGGCTTCACAAGTAGGCATCCTGGCGCCCTTCTCGATCTACCAGTGTGTGTGGGCTGTTTTAATGTGACTTCAGTGTCACATTAGCCACATTGAAACGGTTTCAAACTAAATTTCTTACCAAAACTAATCCGATCCAAAGTTTTGCCAATTTGTTTGCTCACTGTACCGTATCACCATGGCCAATGACCTGGTGTGTTGCCCCTTTGTTTCTAACTGTTTACAGAGAATCAAAGATCTCCCATTCAGACAGAGTGCAGTGTGGAGTCACCGGAGAACAGCTGTGGCTCAAAATGAACGAGCCCACCGAGAAAGATAAGGGCAAATATGCCATTGATATCTTCGATGGCAAAGGCAGCTTCAAGAGAGTTCTTGACCTGTCAGGACAAGGTAAGCGCTCAGGTGTTCCAACAAAAGCGACCTTGCAGTACTTCTGCATTCATTAGAGATATTGTGAACTTTTGTTAAAGTTGACTGTATTTATTTATTTTTATTTTTTTATAATATAAATGTTTTATTTTTTTATATATATATAATTCCATATACATACCTAGTATTACCTTTTATATTTTTCTTTTTTAATTATTTATCCCCCTATCATTCCATTACATAGTATGGGAGGAAGCATTTGAAGAATTCAAGAGGCTGAAGTAAGTTTAAACTTATCCTATTAATGTGACAATGACACATCTACTTTTCTATGGTCAAGACCTCCTTGAATAAGCGGTCAGAATAATCCTAAAATAGACCACCCATGAGTATGTCACAGTAGGCTTGCAGTGAAGCATTTCCTGATATTGAAGAGTGTGAGAAGCATTTATCACCTTTGGAGTCACTATTTAAAGACCTAAATAACAGAGTGTTTATCTGTCTTTCCTTCCTCAGGGCGGCAGCCATAGCAGAGAGAAGTAAGTAATTGTCTTTGCTGTTATTATTGTGCTCTGACAGTGTGTACATATTCACATTGTCATGGCATAAAAGCAATCAAATTTGAAGGTTTCAGTTGCAGAATTATTATTCTGTGTTCAGTAGATGAAATGTTCAGTAGATGAAATTAATATGCCTGAACAAACATTTCAGACTCATTTCTTTAGAGAGAACAGATAATGATTTGGTTCATCGCATATTAAAACTTCTTGAAGCTGCAGCTTATTAAATGGTTTGTGTATCTGTAGACCGTGCTCGTGTGGTGGGCGGCCTGCCCGATGTAGTCGCCATTCAGGAGGGCAAGGTAATACAATAAATCGTATATGTGCATCATATTTCATAAAGAGTTTATTGATAATGTGGTCTGACATTTTATCCCTCTTCACCCTTTTAAGTCTCTCAACCTCACTGGCAACGTATGGGGTGATCCTGTTCCTGAGGTCGGCTGGGTGAAGAATGATAAGCCGCTGTTGTCTGACGATCACCACACGCTGAAGTTTGAGCACGGCAAGTTTGCCAGCATCACCATCGCTGCTGTTACAACCGTCGACTCGGGCAAATACGCCCTGCTGGTGAAGAACAAGTATGGCACAGAGGCGGCAGAGTTTACCGTCAGTGTCTACATCCCAGAGGATGAAGCGGAGAAGAAGGAGTAAAGACACGCACAGAGGGAGAGAGGGGGTTAACATATGACCAGTATACCTTCCAAAGCATTTTAATTCAAAGCATGCCCACCCACAGTGCGATATTGTATGGTTTTCCCTTAAAGAAACATTTTAAATAAACATAATTTTCCCAATGTGAGCGATATTAGCTTCTAGGCTGTTCACATTATTCTTAACCCAGGGTTTAAAGGGATAGTTCATCCAAAAATTAAAATTCTGTCATGATTTAATCACCTTCAAGCTGTTTGAAGAAAACATTTTGAAGAATGTTGGTAACCAGTTGACGGTAGCCATTGACTTCCATAGTATTTTTTTTAATACTGTCAATGCCAGTGGCTACCGTCGACTGTTTGGTTACAAACAGTGTGCGTGCCATGAGGAGGCCTGTCCCAGCCACTTTGGTCCTTGTGCCCCCCTCTAGAAATGCAAATGCCCCCCACCCCATAGTTTGTATGGACTGGTGCCGAATCTGGTTATCAACATTCTTCAAAATAAATGTATTCTTGGCTCACAGAAGAAGAAAAAACTCATAGAGGTATGGAACAACTTGAGAATTAGTATATGATGACAGAATTTTAATTTTGAGGTGAAATATCCCTTTAACATCTTTTTAATTCTGAGTTAAGAATACTCTAATGCGTTAAGCAGTGTTTCACATTTGTGACCCTTGACCACGAAACCAGTCATAAGGGTCAATTTTTCGAAAAAATAATAAATAAGCTTTCCATTGATGTATGGTTTGTTAGGATATGGCAATATTTGGCCGAGATACAACTATTAGAAAATCTGGAATCTGAGGGTGCAAAAAAAATCTAAATACTGAGAAAATTGCCTTTAAAGCTGTCCAAGTGAAGCCCTAGCAATGCATATTACTAATCAAAAATTAAGTTTTGATATATTTACGGTAGGAAATTTACAAAATATTTCATGGAACATGATCCTTTCTTAATATCATAATGGTTTTTGGCATAAAAGAAATAAACTATAATTTTGGCCCATACAGTGTGTTTTTGGCTATTGCTACAAATATACCCGTGCGACTTAAGACTGGTTTTGTGGTCCAGGGTCACATTTGTAATTTTGAATTTGAGGAGGGAGGTTAAGAAGCCCTGCTGCCATTCTGGCTTCAAAACTATACAGTGTGAATTGCTAACCTAGTATGGAAAAGTAAACATATTGAGGTGTTAACCTTAACATTGTGGTACCATGGGTATTTCTAATTTTATAAGCCTTATAAAATATGGTCATTTCTAAATATTGGGTTTAAAAAAGTTTGGAAAGCCCATTTAGCAACTGAAGATATGCATCTCATTGCTTTATGTAACTGCATTGCACCATTGTACTGCAGTTAATGACACTTGGGTATAACAATATTAACATGTTTTTGAATTAAAAAGCTTTGGGTCTTGCTTTATTTTTAAGCATAAACTGGAACATTAGAATGTATCTCAGCTGTTGTCTCATTTTAATTTAAATTGGTTGTGTAGTTTCCAGTGCCAATCTACTGCTTTGTGAAAAAAATCTAATTTAACAGTAGACAACAGTGCGTTAAAGGTTACTAAACCAATAATGTAATTTGGTAAATCCTTTCTCGAAAAAAAAAAAAATATTTATGAATAATCTCATTCGTAGTTTTATGATTCATTGTTGTATGTCTGCCGAATCTTGCTTAATGCATTTTGTGTCTTTATATGTAAACATACAAACATAGTAAAGTCAGTTGGCTCTGCTGCAAGGCAATTTAATCTGTGTAGGTCCTTTAGATAACACAGGATGAGCTATTGTTAAGGCATTGTTGTTTTGTGCTCATATCAGATATCAGCTGACACAGATCTTTATCAGAAAACCAATAGTCAGTGCTATGCAATACATTTAATCTGTTGCAATGCAGAAAATGTGTTTCACTTGTAAACCTGCCAAACCTGGAGTGTAAGGGACCTGGCTGCACTGTGAATATTCATCAAGTGTATGAGTAAGAGCACATGTCAATCAGGATTAGAAAATGAAACCGGTTATTTACTGACAAGTAGCTGAACAAAACAATCACAAACAAACTTCTAAAAGGAAGTGGTTGTGGTGGTTATCTCGGCGAACTCTAGACTGCGCTCCGGGGAATTCTGCTGTGGCGGTCACGTGAGAGGCCTCTGTTTGAAGTGCCTCAGTCGCGTCGCGTCACGTCACGGCCAACCGCCGCCTGACCGGTTCGCGGTGGACGAACCGTACAAGTGACCCTGCGAAAAACTGCCCTCTGTTATGATACACGAGACAACCAGGAGGGCTCCGGTAGGCGCTGAGAGGTGTAAATATTAATTGCCGTCAGCGGGACTCGTTCAGAAATGAATGAATAACGTCGGCAGAGAGAGCAGCGGACAAGCAGACGGCGACACAACGTCCAATTTCTCAACAACAACAGCAGCTGAAAGGTAAACATGACACAAGACCATTTCTGAGTAACCATTTTGGCCAAACGTATCATATGAACGTATACAATACCTATTTTAATGACACAAACATACATTTGATAGCATAGGGATGTAAATGTCAGTTTAGCTGGTTGGCTAGTCGAGCTAACGTTAACCAGAGTGGTAACGTTAATGCTCTGACAGGAACATTCCCTGTAACCCAGCATGACGTTTAAACCAAACCATAACGTCGTTATTTTATCTATTTATTCATTTAGAGCTGGCTAATGCTACATTTTGTCTAAAAATGTCACTTGAATGTTGAGTTGCTGTTGTGTGTATCAAAAACACTACAGTTTCACTAAACAGCAGCATTATGTCATTGCACTGGCCAACAGGAGTTTTGCACACTGACCATTAGTATATGAATGGTTGCTGTTTAAAAAAGCACATTTTATTTTGTTCAAATACCGTTATTTTCGACTCCTTAATAAGAAAATTGACAACAGTCATCACTTCCTTTCCTGGCAAATAAACTGTTTTGCTGTAATAACTGCTTCAAACAATGATGATTGTTAAGCAATAGCAGGCTTATACTGTACAGTATTAGTGAGCATTAGTGCTGATAAAGACAGCTGTACTCAAACTTATCTGAACTTGTTTACAACTGTGAGCAAAAGCGCTTTTGATTTGAACTAAGTCAATAAAATGCAAGTCACCATGTTAACTTTTTTCTTGGAAGCGCATTGGGTTACCTTTTATAGCCTTGAGTTATGTAACATGACCATTTGAAATATCTTAGTAGCTGTTATCATAAATGCTTTATGTCTATCCTGATTGACAATCGTCATGTTGTTTACTACTAAATATGAAAGTACTGAAAATGAAACCTCAAGGGTGTCTGAAGATTTGAGGAACTGAATTGTGTTAAAGTGCATATTTTGAATTTTCAAATTTGCTTTGGCTTTGAGATAAATCTATAACTGTTTTACAGTAGGAGAGAATGCGTAAGACTGCTCATTTCCGCTGGCTTGTTTGCCCTTTGTAACTGAACTTGAACTGAATCACCTTTTTTATGTTATGTAAGTGAAAGACTTCATGCTGGGCATGTTGCCTCACATCTCATTACACAGCAAAGTACAAGAAATGTAAAGTAAAGCGGGTGGTTGAACATAAGAGTTAGCTGCTATTTAGTAAATGCTTCATTCAAAATGACTCCCCATTACATAATTTGACTGTCCCATTGGTGTAAAATGGACTAAAGTGTGCTGCTCAAGGTCAAAGGGGTTATAGAAAAAAGATTGTGGTTTTGTTAAAGGAATAGTTCACCCAGAAATGAAAATTTACTCACCCACAGGCCATACAAGATGTAGATGAGTTTGTTTGTTTGTACATTTGATAAATGGAGCATTACATCACTTGAACTTGCATCAAACAGGTGATAAAAACATCAAAATAATCCACACAACTCCAGTCCATCAATTAACATTTAGTAAAGTGAAAATCTGTGTTTGTAATAAACAAATCATTAATATAAACATTAATATGACATTTTTAAAACTTCAAACCACTGCTTCCAGCTAAAATATGAATCCTCTATCCATAATATTGCTTTCTGAAAAAGAGAAATATGCACAGATCAAGCACTGCATTTACATTCAAAAACAGTTCTAAACAAATATGTATTTTGATGTGAGCAGACAAAATGTGATAGACTTTTTCACTGGAGGAAATGTATTATTATGCCTTATGGACCTGTATTTTGGCCAGAAGCAACCGTTTTAAAACGCATTAAAGATGGGATTTGTTTCTTACAGACATGCAGCTTTTCACTTCACATTAAGCTGTTAATTGATGTACTGGATACTTGTGGATTATTGTGATGTTCTTATCAGCTGTTTGGACTTCTGACTGCACATTGTAACGCTAAATTTCCCCAAATCTGTGTCGATGAAGAAACAAACTCTTCTACATCTTGAATGTTTTATGCAAAAAAAAATTTTTTGTGAGCTATTCCTTTAACTGACTCATTTTTTCCTTGCTCACGTTTTAGGACTTAACCTGCAACTTTGTGTGAGCAACACGGTACATTAATAATTTTGATATCCCCACCCAAGTAGCCTTAAGTTCTTGCAGGTTTTTGCTTGTTTATTGTGAAGAACTCTGTGCTTCATAATTACAGTCTAGCTTAAGAATAACTGTTAGTGGAGTTTTTGCGTACAGCTAGTTATGACTATGCAAAAGTCATGCAGCCTTAAAGGTCAATAGCCTTTACTACTTGGTCTGCTGTCATGGCAAATTACAGACTTTTTGTACTACACCTAATATTTTCATTATACAGCAGTACTGATTACATGTACCTGACAAATACACGTGCCCTCTGTAATTAGAGGCGTTCCCGGAGAGACCACAGATACACAAACCAATTTGATTCTGCACTAGGTCTTGTTTGTCAGTTAAACAGAGCAGGTGAACATACAAACCTTTGAACATCTTGGATTAGCGTGCATATATATTAGGGCTGGGCGATATAGCTAAAAAATGTATCAACGAGATAATGTTTCATATCGTTCGGTATCGATAATTATTGACTTTTTTATAACCTTTTTTAAAACAGAGCAATATAATTTTTTTTTAAATTTAACCACTGTATTTTAAAATTAACCCAATTTATTGAGACAAATAACAAATATTTTTGTTTTAACAGTCAAGCACACAATAAAAATTAAACAAATATCTAATTTGTAATGTTTTATATGCAGATTAAATAGGTTAAACTTTT